TTAAAAAAATATATCAAAAGTTTTTTATAATAAAATTCAGGGCAAATTTGCCCTGAATTTCAAACGGTTTAAGAGATAAGAATTTAGGTTGCCAATACCGAACTTATACAGTAAATTTTTAAATACCGCTTCTTTACCAGCCTAAGACTATGTATACATATTGTATATTATATTGGTTCTGAAAGATCCCGAACCGGAGCAAAATTTATAATAAAGTTCTGAGCTTTCCGAAGATATATTGACCCGATAGAAAAAATAAACTATATAACGAACCCACTCTATACCGAACAAAACCTCCTAGAATATGCAGCTCGATATATCCAGAGTCGACTGTACTTACACCACATGCATGACAAACTTGAACACAAATGGTAAGAAAGATCAGTCAAATTTTAATAAAGTGTTGTCAATGAATGAGCTACAATTTTATTAATTATGTTGACAAAATTTGTTCATTCTGGCAGAAATTTCAAGAATCAACGCTCACCTAAATGATTGAACGATAAGCAAATCTCTTGCAAATTGAATTACAAGTCATGCAGTAAAAAAAATAAATAATAAAAATGAAAAGTGTGAATATTATAGACAATAATAATAATAATAATAAAAATAATAAAATAAATAAATTTCATGAGGCGGTTCATAGTATAATTTATCTTCTATCTTATATTTTTTAAACGTTTCTTAGGCTAATTTTGACATTCAAATCATAAACCCGATTTGAAGTACTACGATGATATTTTATTTTTTCATTAAAATTGACTAATTTTATGTCGTATTTTCTATAAAATAGAACAGTCAAAGTCTTCGCCAAATTTGTCGCCAAAAATCTTCCAGGACAAATCCTAAGGCCATCATCGAATGGTGCATAAGATTTCCTTAGTACTTCAGAAGTAGCACCAGATTTGCTTAAAAATCTATCTGGATTAAAAATTTCGGGATCATTCCAAAAATCCGGATTATTCGAAAGTGTTTGGTTATCTACCCAAAATTTTGTTCCGCTTGACCAATTATATCCGCCAACATTTTCTTCACCATCTAAAAGTTTA